CCACCTAGAGACCGATATAAGAACCCACCACTCGTCTGAGTGATCCTTATATATATATATATATATATATATATATATATATATATATATATATATATATATATTTGTTTGATTTTTTCTTTTGTTTTATATTATTTCTTTAATTTTGGTTAAATATATTTTTGTGGCTGTTTTTTTATAATAAAATTACGATATTATAGGATTATATAAAAACCTAAACAATTAAATTTGAAAAAACTTATTTAAAAATTCCTTTATAAAAGGTATAACTAAAAACATCCTATCGGGCTAAATCACAGAACGTTTTCGGAATTAATATTCCATTATCAGTGTTATCTGGATATTTTGAGCCACTAATTACTTGGGTAAAAACCCTTTAAAATGTTGTTAAATTAAATTTGAGTTACATAATTTGCTTTTATATACTAAGATTGCTAGTCCTTAGGTCTAGTAACCTCCAGTGGAGTCTTACGTTGCCATGGTATGTGTTCCTGTTGTAACTTAAATATCCTAGTATATAAAATCAAATAATGTAACTTAAATTTAATTTAACAATATTTAAAGGTTTTTATCCAAGTGTTTAGTGGCTCAAATCATGTACATCCAGATAACACTGATGATGGAATATTAATTCCGAAAACCTTCGGTGATGTAGCCCGATGGGGTGTTTTTAAAATATACCTTTTATAAAGGAATTTTTAAATATTTTTTGTGATACATGGTACCAGCTACAGGAATTTAGTTCCCTTGTCGAATTAAATTTGCTTTATAAAATGTATATTTTTGAAAGTAGGAAGTTATTTTTTTTATAAAATCTGTCCAATAAAGAAAATCCAAAATTTTAGATTGATTTGATTGATACATACCTTTAACCGAACCATACTAATGAAAAAAAGGTAATTATTTACTAAGCCGGAACACTTCAAAAATGCCCAATTTTTTGTGGACTTGGCCGAAAAAGTGAAAAAAACCTCAAATTTTAATGTTTTTTTGGGTGTAAACTAGTAAAAGTGCCCAAATAATAAAAAATTCCGAAAAAATAACAAAAAAAGTATTATGAACCAAAAACAAAAAAATGTGTAAAATTGCATAAAATAATCAAGATTTTTATTATTTCAAAACAATATGGCGGCCATGCGCAAGAAGTTCAATTTTATGTACATTTGACATTCTTGCCAGTTTTAACATTTAAAATACCTAAAAATTTAATGAAAATTACCTTAATAAAACTTAATAATATAAACTTTTCTGCAAAACGAGTATCAATCAACCATCGTCTTGGAAGAAATCCCGAACTCATCATTTACGAATGCTTGCCTAGGCGGATTTAAATATAATAAGGTTGCCACCAACATCAATATTTTCTCTACCGGCAATTTACTTGCTTCCAAAAAGCTCCATTTCTTTGCCAATAGACTAAATCCACACTTTTTGTGTGTTTGTGTGTGTGTGTGTGTGTGTGTGTGTGTTTTTTTTGTCTTGGAACAACTTTATTACATTTTAACCTACCTTCAGCGTTAATTCGTAACTCGTTGCCGGACCGACGCACCATTTTGTCTTTAATAACACCGTGTTTGATCATAAAATTTAGGGCACTACCTTTGTTCAAACACAATGCAAAACTCCGTAAATCTTAATTGACACCCACCACACTCCATTTTGTCTTCCTTTCGTAATGAAAACGAACAAATAAAAAATGAGTCGAAAATGCCAATACCTATTGCGAAAATACCTATTTCCCACCAATATATCCTTATTTTCGTATGAAATTATCTTTTATCGTCTAGACGGCAACGCAGGTAGGATCAAAAATTTCATCCATTCGATTAATGTCGGGTATTTTCGTTTTGATACTGCGTGTTATAGAAAAATATACGTTCACAGAGAATTCCGAAATTGACACCTAACCGTTAAAAGTCTGTCTGGGAATCCCCCAATACTGATTTATTTGAAATACTATAATGTATTATATATACATTAATTACTCTGTGAATCCAACAATATTTATTAGCATAAAATTTCTTATTTTTCTTTACATTTTATTATTAAAAATACAAAACAATAAACCAAATCTAACCCAATAAGAAAACGTGACAATAAAACTAAACCAACGTAACTAAATCTAACCTAACTCTGGTAAAAAACCAGTAATAACAATAAAATTTTGTAATATAATTAAAAATCAAATTTTTTATTTTTCATAAGAAAACATGATAATAAATGTAATGAAACGTAACCAAATCTTACCTGACCCTTGTAAAAAAGCTATAAATTTCAGTTAAAAGTAGGTAATAATAAAATGTTATTTTAATGTCCAATTTGAAGGTAGATTTTTATTTTTCATTAGAAAACATAATTTTGAATAACTATGGCAACACTGGTTAAAATTACCCTTCTTGACCGTAAGAAACAGTTGTCATTCCTGTCATTTCTAGTTGTTTCATGGTAAATAATGGCGAGTAATGGCAGTGGCTTTTAAAAATCGGGCATATTTTAAATGTAAATTACATAAAAAAGAACGTTTTGCACCGAATAAAAATAATTGCACAATCATTAGTAAGTGAAGCAGAATTCATTGATATAAATTTCATCTCCGTAAACATGGTTCCGGCTTATTACACTAGTACCGAAAAAAATAATAAAAAGTTTAAAATATAAAGAGGTTAAAAAATAAAAAAAACTTTCTTTAAATATCACTTAATCCCTTTAAGAAATAATCGATTCATTATAAAACATTATCGAAACCTACAGCAAACATGCATAAAATTTGGCTTATAATCCAGTCTGGTTATGAATTTGCAAAACATTCCATGTTTTATTTTTTTAACAATATAAACACCCTGTAGCATTATTGCACACCGCATCTGACCCCTTAAACCATTTAATAAATTAATCATTATCTGACAAACAACTCGCACCGCGTAGAAACAACCTCAACCCCCACCTTCAAATCATCCCCACTCCTCACCGATAACGATATATTTTCAATTCGTCGCCACCCCTACCCCTGCGTCGGCCATTCCAACGTTTGCGTTTCCTTGGCAACGGTAGGTGGGGGCGTGCCGAAGGGTGGTGGTTCCCCTCACCCCTTTACCTCCTATGTAGGGCATGTAAATCCAATAATCCGGCGGCAGGGTTTAGGTTGTGACGGGATGATTTAGAGACAAATCGGGCTTGACTAATAACAATATTATGTGGAAAAACGATGATACGCCGACACCACTGACAACTGACAGATAGATCGGCATTTTTTTTAAAGCGATATTTTTGAATGTCGAGAGGATTATTTGTTTTATTGGGTTTGCAAAAACGACCAATTATTCCAACTGATTGCACTATATAGTCGCAGCTTCACCTGCAATAAACACACATTTTATAAAATGATTTGATACTTTTACTATTATGTTTTTTTATTTGACTTTATACAAAACGTATCTGCAGAAAAAAAGAAGTTATCTATTGAACTGAATAGTGTTCAATGTTTTAATAATAAATACTATCGATTATTACCTAGTTTAGAATGTTGCTTTTGTAAACTGAGAACGTAGTAAGCACTTTGATATCTTTTTTATAAGTACCTAGTAAACACTCACCCAAGGTACTGCAGCTCTTCGGGTATGAACGATTCTTTGTAAAGACAAAGAAGCCACTTAGTAGCAGTACTTGCTCATACCAGCTCTCATTGATTGAATGATTGTTTTCATTGTTGTAGAGCTTTTAAAACAGGGTTAATTATTAGAAACAACTATTTACTTCTAGTAATTTATTTTACTTTCTAGTATTTATGTACTTTTCCAAAACAGTAGTGTAAAGTTGCCTAAATCGTACCGCCTCCTTAATCGTACCACCTCTATTTTACTGCTTTATAGATACGCTAAAGCTCCCTGACAGTGTAATTGTGTACTATTACTGGTTACACATTATGATGTTTAAGTTACCGTTGGAATTACTAACATGGCGACGTATGACCCTACATAGGTAAAATGGTCCTGAGACGAAGTGTCTTCGAGGACCTATTGGATCTGTCAGGACCATTTTACCAATGTAGGGTCATACGTCGCCATGTTACCAATTCCAACGGTAACTTAAACATCATAATCTGTAATCATATATAATGTAAAACAACTGTAAATTTATAACATTTAAAGGGTTTTGACCCATATATTTTGGTGGCTCATAGCATGTATACCTCGTTTACACTGATGATGGATTGAACACTCCGAAAACGTTTTGTACTGTAATTGTGATAGCCCGTTGGGGCATTTTATTATATACCTTTTATCAAGGATATGAAATAATTTTTTTGTGATATATGGTATACATAGGGTGACCATATGTACTTTTTTTAGTAGGACAGTACTTTCTTTTCAAACGATGCGTCCTATTGTACTTTAAAATTTATAAAGTACACCTAAATGTACTCTTTTTCTTAATTATACAAAATTAAGTCCTACTTTTTGTCCAAACAAAATATAATTATTGTTCGAATTGATTCAAGAATCGATCTTTTGCGGAAGAATCAGAATCTCCTATCTTTAGCAGCAATCGATCGGCGCAGGAGTCACTTGTGACTCTCATCTCTCGCATCTCCATCCCATCACTCTCGATTTCATTTCGCAGCAAGATCTTATTATCTTATTTATTTAGTAAAAATATATATCTCGTCGCATGTTTATGTTTATTTGTTACTTGTGCGCTCACTGTTGATTAGTCTATTAACCTTTTGTCTTAAATTTCGGCAGTTTTTCTCGTTTTCTATATTATTTTGTGCTGTGTGGAAAAATAAACAATTTCATCATGTCACCGCCTAGAAGAAAATGCCATTTTAACGTCGAGTTGCAAGCAGAGTAATGAAACAAATCAAATGTTTCACCGCATATTGTGATTTGCCAAATTTGTAAAAGTGATGTTAATATTTTTAACAGTGGTCACAGTAATATCAAACAACATTTGTAAAAGAAAAAACACATGTTGGCTGCTAATGCACAAGTTCTGAAAATATGTTGATTGCTGCCAAGAAAGGTACTTTTGCTTACCATACAATTAAGCATTTGCAAAGTTTCAGGTCCTCAGACTGCACGTCAAAACTTATTGTAAGCATGTTTGAACCTAAATTTTCGGCAGTTCGAACCAAGACTGAGGCGATTGTAAAAAATGTTTTAGCTCAAGGGGCTCAATCCCAATTAGAAATTGACCTTCGAAAAGCAAATTTCGTCATCATCACAATCGATTCGTCGAATCATAGAGAAATTAAAGTTGTACCCTTAATGGTAAGATATTTTGATGGATAAAATGGTGTCCAAGTAAAATTACTTCAGCTACGTGACTTACCTGGTCCAACATCAGAGCAGTTAAAAGATTACGTGGTGTATGTTTTGAATTACCATAATCTACTATAAAAATGCATCGGAATGTCTGCTAATAATACAAATACAAATTTTGGTGGAATGAGAAGAAAAGGAGTGAACAATCTATCCAGCAAATTAAATGCTTCTCGTGGTAAACCCGTGATTGAAATTGGTTGTGTGGCACACATTTTTAATAACTGTTTCCAAATGCAACGGACGTCTTACCCATAGACATCAAAGTTAATGCGGTCAAGATTTTTAAGTATTTCTATATTTTTACAGTCAGAGTGGAGAAACTAAAGCAGTTTTGCGATTTTGTTGATATCGAGTACAAAAAAATGTTTGAACCCTTGAAAGCATATTTTTTATCGATTGATAATTGTCCAACAGTTCTAAAACAGTTTTTTCAAAACCCAATCAGTGAAGCATGGATGAAAGTGATTTTAGATGTAGAAGGTGACAAAATATGTGCAACGGAAGCCGATTTGAAGTATTTCGAACTCATAAATAAGCTTCAAAATCGCTTAAATGAGTTATTTTTACCGCTTAAAGTACTTTCACTTTCAAAACTTGAAAATATGGAAGACCTTGATCTTAGTGTGAACTATCGAGATATCTTTATCACGCATGTCAAGCAGTTCTATTCAAATAGTGTAACATATTTGAAAAACTGGAGTGAAAATTTAAGTGAACTAAAGCTATTCGGATGGGTTAACTTGAAAAAACAAGTTTCTTGGGCTGAAATTGTATCGTCGTGTGAGGCTTTCAAAGACTACATAGGTCCGATATTAAATCAGGAATGAACTGTTTGATGAAGTTAGTCTAATACGAACCTACGTTACAGAAGATAAAATCGCAGATTGGAATTCGAAAAATATTTCTATCGAAGATCGATGGCTCGAAATCTTCCAAAAGAGTTTGTTTTTTGTCTGCCTGGGACCAGTGCGTCCATTGAGCGGTTGTTCTCAAATATCAATAACTATTGGAGTCCCAACAAATCGCAGTTGAAAATATCTACTCTGGAAGCCATCATGCAAGTCTACACAAAATTCAAAGTTTCGTGCAATGAAATGTTTCAGTTCTTAAAGAGTAAACCACAACTTCTGAAGGAAATTCATAGTTCCAAAAAGAACGACTGGTACCAAAAAAATGATCAAGGTGTTCAGGAAAAAACGTCGAAAGAAAATTAACTATTAAAATTTATCATACATTTTTTATGTACGTATGTTTGATTAAAAAAAATCGTTCTTATCATTGTTTCATTAAATATTCGTAAAATTTTGACCAGAAAAATTTCCTAGGGCACTAGCAGTGTACATATTTTCTTAAAAATTATAAATGTACTTTTTTTTTGTTGAAAAATTATGGTCACCCTAGGTATACAGCCAGCTACAGGAACTTAGTTTCCTAGTGGATTTTTAATATAATTTTATCAACACATTTGTATAATACACTTAATCTAGTATCTAAAAACGGATAGGTTAAGGCAAACAGTTTTATTTTTAGGTGTAGGAGTAGGGGAGAGTTTCCCAAAATGTGGACCCATCACATTTTATGACATAAAATGAAAATTTGTAATTAATAAAATATTTTACACAGTTATGTAGTTAAAGTGTATCTTCAGGTACCAGAAAACGTATATTGAGTATTTAACAAAAATTAATGACAGAAATAGACATTTTTGAAAATGTGCAAATACCTCGTCTTTCAAGAAAGGGAGGTAAAATGGGGTACATGGAAATATTACGTTATTTTTTAATTAAATATGTAATGAAGTATTGAACATTATTATACAGTAGATTCAGTATGACAGTATGAACAGTATTAAAAAAAATCAAACTATAAGTAAACAAAAATCGCATAGAAAAGTGTCATCATCATCTTCACAGCTTGAACAAGCTTCATGTGCCCAGCCACCACATTTGCAGCACCGAATCTAACCTTCCTGATCGAAAGAGTTTTTTACATCTCGTTACAAAAAATGCAAGCTTCTTCGTCTTCTTCTTCCTCGACTTCACTAAAGGACGTATCAGAAGGTCTTTTTTGTGTTTACCTTCTTGTTTCTCTTGGCGCTCCTGTTCTTCGGCCTTTAGTTCAGCCTTGTATAGTGACGATTTTAATATGACAGTTTTACCTTTTCTCTTGTTACTATTCCTTCTTACACGCTCCTTTTCTTGGGATGGGGATCAAAATTTTTGGTGAAAGCAGAAAAGCTGATTTGGGTGACGTAGACTCACCTGTTGAAGTAGAGGACTTGGGAGAAGTTTCTTTATAAGGATCAGGAGAAGCGTCGTTAGAAGGCACAGTTCCACTTGAAAAAGTAGAAAGTTCTGTTCTATTGTTTGTGGTATTGGTAGTAGTGGTGCCTGATATCTGCTGCTCAGAATTGTGGTTTGGTTGTTTTGTCTTATCTGACGGGGCAAACAGGTAATCAGGAAATACGAAATGATGTATTCTTGTTGTTTTAAATCCCTTCACTACGGTTTGAACATTAGCTGCCCTTGAAAAAGCAGCAGTGACTAGTTGTCCAATTTGATAAATTATAACACCCTTGTCAGGGTGATTAAGCAACCATTTTTTATTCTCTTGTGCATAAAATGTAGTAAATGGTGCCATAAATGAGGAGCGGTTGTAATCGATGTGTGGTATGTGGTGGAAAACATAATAATATAACGTTATTTTCCCGAGCAAGATGAAGGAGTTCTAAACTTTTTTTATGGAAACTATGATCATCAAGAATAAGTAGCACTGGTTTTTGAGGTCTGGGATTTGAAAACTCAAGAAACTTTTTAAACCATACATACATAAACAGTCTCATAATACACAAACAACCCATTTGCTTTTTACCATGCAGAGCAAGGATTCTGGAAGGCTTGTTAGGTACAGTCATAATGCCGGTCTCATCTACGTTGGGTGATAAATTGTGTTGCGTATATAAATATTTAAGCAAATCAAAAAATATCTTTACTGCTGCTCGATTTAAACCTTTTGCGCTTGCCAGTGAAGTTTTTCCAGGATTACGTAATGCTCATTAGTGGTGCCGCCTTAGAAAGCCATAAAGCCAATGTTTACCAGCCATTTTCTTATCTTCATCAAACACGTTTGGAATGTGATTTTTAACGGCTAAATCGAAAGCTAGTTTTCTTAAATCTGTTAAGCTAAGGCCAAACAGTCTTTCTTTTAAATATAAAATATAATACACAAGTTCATTTTCTTGCGCTTCGGAAAACAAAGTCTTAAATCTACCCAATCTTTTTTCTATAGCTTCTTTTGAACTCAATTCTTTTTCTCGAGCGTCCTTTACTTTGCGCTCCAAAGTAGTTTGTGGAATAGCGTACAGTTTTGATGGTTTTCTGTAACCCATGTTGCCTTCTAACACTTCTTGAATGGCGGCCATCATACTTTCCTTGGACCAACTCTGTCTGTCGCTTTTTCTTGTATAGGTAAGGATCCATGTTGAAATCTTAAAAAACCCAATTATTTAGATAATTCAATGTATAAAAGCATACCCTAGTAATTTTTATATAGACTCAGACTTTTTTCAATAATATCTTTATAATTAAATAATTTGTCAAAAGCAGTTCTACCTAGGTACCTAGTAAAATTACTTAATCGGCATTAAAATATTCCATAGGTTAAAATGGGGACGTCCCCGTTTTGAGCTACCCTTACCGTCCTTATTTGACCCGTTTATGACTTAATTAAAAAAATATGGCGTATCGAAGCTAAAATACTAAGATTTTTAAATGAGTATTAAGTGAAAATGTAGCTTAAAGACAGCGGAAACAAAAGTATACTTACCGAAATTGATTATTTCAATGTACCTTGCTAACACCAACCAACAGTGCAGGTTGAAATCGTAAACAAATCACAAAAAATATTGGATTGACTATACATAAAATAAACATAAGCTCACACCTCGACTACTTACTGCAAACTGGTTAGTAGGCAACTAAGAACACCCACGCGTCGTTCGGCAGTCAATTCCCCACTCTATTACTGAAATGTTAAATGTCTACATATTACCCTGCGACCCCGTTGTAGGCGACTCTCCCCTAACTTATATCTGCCTTGATTATTCAATATATGTTCCAAGTACTGCAGCTTATGGATCTTCATGATGTTGACCAAATACGCGGTTGTGTTCATCCTCTATAGTACTTCTTTATTGATGACTTTGTCTGTCCATGGTATCTTCTGCATCCTTCTGTATAACCATAGCTCAAAAGCCTGAAGTTTTGATAGAGTTTCCGCCTTTGACGTTTCTACTTCGTACAAAAGCACTGAGTACACGTAACATTTAAGGAGCCTTATATTTGTTTCTAGGGTGAGGTCATGGCTCTTGAACACAGAGCTCATAATGAACAATGCTAGAAGAAAGCTATTGAACCTGCTATCCTACCAAAAACACCAGAAGCAAGCAACATCAGTGAACCAGGTCCTTCTGGTTTGCAGAAGTTTGTAAGTCCATGTGAAATATCGCCAGTGCCGTTGATCAGGAAAAATCATCAAATCGTGATAGAAAATCATCGAAATCAACGGTAATAACTTCTTTACCATACAATGAAGCGTTAGACCAGAAAACGGCAAAAATAAATTAAATGTACAGGCAGTAAAACGACATATTACGGCTGAGTCCACAAGGGAGGTGTCTGCTCTCCGTTGCGAATTATGAGATGAAGCTACTCATTGTCTGGTAGTTTCTTTCTGTGGGTGGGTTCTTTGTTTCTGGTGTTTTGGTGTCCTGTTTTAGGTTTTTTACCTCTTCAGGACGTGGTTGTTGTGTTGGCTGTTGTTTTTCTTTTCCTGGCTTTGTGGTTCCACTGGTGATTTGTTTTTGGACTTGTCGTCGGAGGAGTACACTGGACAATCAAAGGCGAAGAAAGGGGCATTGGTTAAACGGTCCTTTTCAGAATTTATTGATCTAAAAAATAAATTTATGGATATGTGAATTATATTTTTACAATTTGATATATTAATAAATGTGTTTAATAGCGATTCGCGTGAGGGCAGCTGTGGCTGTGTCCTCTGCAATAGACAGGTATCATTGTGCAATGGGATCGGTAAACCACAGAAAACCACAGAAGTGAGCATTTAAAAGTTATGGTGGCGACGATAATAGATGGGAGTTGCCTCCTGGATAATGTTGAATAAGAAATCAATAGACTAAACATCGATGTTTTAGGAATCAGCAATACACAATGACCAGAGTCTGGGAAATATTCAACACGAAATGATGGCGTATTTTTTTACTCCGGAATCGACAACACCCATCGTTACGGAGTTTGAATCATCATTTCAAAGAAATGGAAAAATTCTCTGATTACCTGTACTAATTATTCAGAGCGCTTAATAATACAAATTAAAGAAAGACATAACTTAATAAATCTTATTCAAGTCTATGCACCAACAGCAGATAAAGATGACAATGAAAAAGGACAATTCTACAACGATTTAGAAGAAATGCTGAAAACAATAAAAAAGGCAACACATTAACATAATAATGG